AGAAGAGGTTTTAATTTTCGAAAAGATATTTGCAGAGAAGACTGGAAGCAAGCCAAACACTACTTGTGTCTTTAATTACTTACAACTTAACAGAGATCAGATTTTTTATAATGACACAAAAGCACACCAAATGGTTGTTATTGCAATAATTCTGTTTCAGGTATTTTTACAATTACAGAATATCTTTATTGTTGCTTTGTGGCCACCATACATTTATTTTTTTCCCAGTTAAAAAACCAGGATTATTGAATTATTAAGAGTTACCTTGAGGTAAAATGGGCAGCCTATAAATTTTATAAATAAAATTATTGTCTGCTGCTATCTGCAACTTCTCTATTTTTGCTTTACATTTGCATAACTCTGTAAGCTAGACATGTCATATGTTGTTAAATTAACCATAAGATTTCTTTACCATGCTATGCAAATATGTTCATGGATATATGTGAGTGTAAATATGTGTGTATGTGTGTTGGCATGTACACACACACAAGAGCTCAGTCATCTTAGTATTTGCCTTACTGAACCCAATATATTTCTGGGCCAAAAGTAGACAGATTGTTAATCAATTTATGATAGTCTATGGGAAAGGGAATTCAGAACTTGGTATCACCATCAAGACGACCAAAAACTTTAACCTTAGACTGTCTACTATTGACCTCACCCCTTTCCTAAGAGGTCTGTAGTGGGCGTGCATAAGTGCACCAACGTGCCTACCGTCCCTGTCCTATTGTTTCTTTTATTTTTCTTATATGTACCCATTTCATGTATTCATAACTATGTATATACTTATATTTATTATCTTGTAAACAATTGACAGGTCAAAAAAATAAATAAATAAAAATAAATAAAGACTCTCTTCCTAATTATCATGGCTTTCATTCAACTAAAATATTTGGAAAAGGTAAAATGTTCTCCATGACCTCATAATTATAGGGAGACTAGAACAGGAAGAGTTTTTTGATATTTGATCCTTCACTATTTAAAGATGCAAAATTGATAATAGCATCCTGAATTATAAATAAGCAACCAGAGCCGCTTCAGAATCAGGATAATTAGGGATTCTTCTGTCTTTAGCCTGCAGCACCTTGTCGGCCAAAACGGGGTGTGGGGGGGGCTGTTTGGCCCCTCATGCCCCATTTTTGGCCTGGATGTCCTCCTGCAGCACTTGCCAAAATGGGTCCAGGGGCCACACATTTGATACCCCTGTACTAAAACATATTACTGATTTTTATATACTGTAATTAAGACTCTTGGATTCATTCTGCAACCTTGATGGCATATCAACCAATGAAACTTGATATGTTAGGGGTCCAAATTCACCATCCTTAAAAGGTATGCAAATATATGTCATGTTAGTGATGAGATGGGAGTAAAGACACTTGACATATTTGGAACATCTGTTCAATTTTTGGCTCAGAATAAGTTCAGGAGAAAACCTTTGGATTCTCTTCTCCTCCTGCCCTGATCAATAGAAACCAGATTTTCAACTCTATTGGCTTTCACCCCATTAGTTTTTCAGACAAGCTTAAAATCTGACAATTCACCTGAAATGTGGGAGGACTGACAAAAGCTGCACGTTTCTATGGAAAAATGAAAGTGCAACTGGACAGAACTCTTTCTCCAAGTGAAAAAAAACACCACATTTATGTTTCTAGATAAGACTCGGGCAGCTGCTTTAAATTTGATAGCACAAAAAGTGACACAAACAAAAGGCAACTCTTGAGTTATCTTTATACAGATAGTCCTTGACTTACAACCAATCATTTAGTGACTGTTCGATATTACAACAGAACTGAGAAAGAACAGTGACTTTCAACTGGTGCTCACACTTATGACGGTTGCAATATGCACAGGGTCATGTGATCAAAAATTGGTGCTTGGCAACAAGCACCTGTTTATACTTGCAGCATCTTGGGGTCATATCATTGTCATTTGTGACTTTCTCAGGTGGTTTCCAAAAACTAAGTCAATGGATTAAGTTGTTTAATGGGTGGATGATTCACATAAGTGCAGTGATTTGCATAACATGGCAAAAAGATGGTAAAATTATCCTTCCCTGATGCCAGGAATTGAATCTTCCAAGTGCTTCTATAAAAATGAAATGAAATCCAGCCTACCTTACATCTTGGAATGTACCTAAATAGAAATGATATAAAATTGGATTTTTTATATTTATTTTTATTTGCTGCCCGTCTTGTTTCAAAGTGATTTTCTTCCAATAATAATTTTAAAAAGCGGCAGCTGAAAAGCCTTTCAAAAGTCTTACTAAACTGGTTTCAGTAATATTATGGATATTCAGATTCTCCACTATTCTGCTCATAGTTGTTCTGGTGTGCAGAGCACTGCACTTCAGAACTAGACACAAGAATAGTTTTCCCCCACAGAAGAACACCGTCGAACTATTTACTAAGTCTGCATTACTATTACTATTAATCCTCCCATCCTTCTTTTCACCTATCTCCTCCCACTCATGACTGTATGACTGTAACCTTGTTGCTTGTATCCTAATTATTTTTATTGACTGTTTCCTAGTATGATTTGATTGCTTATGGTACCCTATGACTATTATTAAGTGTTGCACCTTCTGATTCTTGACTCTTGGCGGATGTATCTTTTCTTTTATGTACACTGAGAGCATTTGCATCAAGACAAATTCCTTGTGTGTCCAATTACACTTAGCCAATAAAAGAATTCTATGTAAGTCACGATTTCATTTCTTCACAGGAATGCTGGGTGCTTCCCTGCTATTTCTGCATTCCATGCTTTTTGGCTTTCCTGATTCATGGAGTTTTAAAGGGTGGGAATATTGCATTATATTCCCTTTGCATCTGTCCTTAGAGTCCTCTGACTGGGATTAACCATTTACAAATGGTAATTTATAGCAGCATCAGGCCCCTCTGGTAATGGACAGAGTTTCCCCTTAACTACACAACACTGGCCTTACCTTGCCCCAGCCTCGAATTTAAGCAGTCTGATGCTGACCCTTATCCAAACCTAGTTTTCCTTGCTTAAGCCAACCCACTTGGACCATAATGTATCTCGGTGTATTGTTTCATTCCCTTTTGGTGAAAAATGAGGTCAAGGGGCAGTGTAACCAGAGGCATGGGGGAATTGGGTAAGGACAGACAGTTCCTTTCTTGAGGACATAGATTTGGGGAGGAATATCCGCCATGTCATTATGTAACCAGATGTTGAGCAATCATTGGCCTGAAAAATATTGCCACCAGCCCCAGAGAACAAACTGGTTAGCAATATGGTCTGAAAAGGAGGCCATTGTCAGGACTGTCCAACTTAAGGCTGCATTAAACCGGCATTTCTCAAGCTCAGCAATTTTAAGCTGTGTCGACTTCAACTCCCAGAATTCCCCAGCCGGCAAAAGAATTCCAATTTGGGACTTGGAAGTCCAAAGAGCTTAAAGCTGCGGAACTTGAGAAACAGCATTAAACTGGAGGTGACTGGCTTAAAAAGGGAAAAGAAGTTTGGATCCGGAGTACAGGTAGTCCTCAACTTACACCAGTTCGCTTACTGACTGAAGTTACAACGGCACTGAAAACTTATGACCATTTTTCACACATATAACCATGGCCATTTTTCACACAGAGGACCACTGCAGCATCCCCATGGTCATGTGATTTACATTTCAAGATGCTTGGCAACGGACTCACATTTATGACGGTTGCTGTGTCCCCCGGGGTCATGGGACTCCCCCTTTGCAATCTTCTGATAAGCGAAGTCAATGGGGAAGCCAGATTCCCCTAAACAACCACGCTATTAATTTAACAAAGTGCAGTGATTCACTTAACAAATGTGACATGGGGGCAAAACTCACTTCACGAATGCCTCACTTGGCTCCATCGTGGTCGTAAGTCGAGGACTACCTGTGACACCCCAATAACTCAGAGCGAGTCTAACTCTAACCTCATGGTTAGAAAGGCAACAGCTGCCTCGTCACGTTCCCCCCCCCCCCCCCAACTCCTTGTCTCCAGTAACCTTTCCCGGTGCTTCACCTCGCCATCCGGGGCCCTAATTTGCCCACCTGCAGCCTTCCATTCGGGTCTTCAGTTACCCACCGGCAACCTCCGGGTTCACCTTCCCCTCCTCGTCCTCGTCCTATCTTTGGGCTCAAGCTGCCAGCCCCGCAGGACGTGCTCCTCGCGCGGGGTCTGGCTCTCTGCCCTTTTCTCCTCCTCCCCCCCCCCCCCACTCCAGGGTCGCGATTCCTCGTGGCCGGCCTTCCTTTCCCCTCCCGCGACAAACTCCTCCCCACCCCGCGCCCCTGGAAAGCGGCTGGCCTGGCCTGCAAGGTTGCACAAAAAGGCCCCCTGCCAACCGGATCGCCCGCTCGCCCGTCGGCTTTTTCGAGGGCGGCTCGCTCGCCCCGCTTCTCTCTCTCTCTCGACGGCTTCCAGCCGCTAGACTTAGAAAAGCGGCCCCCTCCCGCCCTCCGCCCTTTCTCCGGCACCTCAGGGGAAGGCGGCTGGGCTGGCCCTCTTGCCCTGCCCTGCCCCACCGCCGGGTTCTTCTTCCCCAGGTCCGCATCTGAGGCGGGAATCTTTTTTTTAAAGTTGAAGGGCAACCGACGCCACCTCCGGAGGCCCCTTCCCCGAAGGCAGCGCGCGCCTTTCCTTTCTCCCCGCGCCCCAGACACCAGCTGCTCGACCCGGTCCTCCTCTGCCCTCAGCTTCCTCCTGCCCGGCGAGCTTCAGACGAGCCGCCCGCCCTCGCCGCCCCGGCCGTTTCTTCCTGCCTCCCTCCCTCGGCTGGCCACGCCAGGCCAGCCCGCTCTCCGCTCGCCCTTCAGCGGCGTCTGGTGGCCCCTTCTCAGCCCTGCCCGCTCCGCTTCCCGCCGTCCCGCAGCGCGCCTGGCTGGGTGGGGGGGGGGCGGGAGGGGGTGAAGGGAGGGCAGGCAGCGGCCTCTCCGCTTCCTCCCTCGCCTGCAGCCCGCCCGGCGGCGGCCAGAGCCCGTGCGGCGCGGATCGCGAGCCGCCGAGGGACGCCCGATGGTGCCGCGCGGCGACGGCGGGGGAGGTGCCAGGCGCCTTCTGCAGCTCGCGCTGCGCTCGCCCTCGCGGAGCTTGCGCCTCTGGCTGCTGCTGCTGCTGCTCCTGACGGCCCTCGGCCACGCGTGGACCTACCGCGAGGAACCTGAGGAGAGCGACAGGTGGGTGGCGCGCGCGCGGGGGGGTGGGGGCAGAGCCGCGCCCGCGTTTTTTTTCCTTTTTCTCCCTCCCCCCCTCCCCGCCAACCTCGCTTTGCCTGGTTCTCCAACCGGCGCTGCGCCGCTTCCGACGCCCGTTGGGCGACTCAGCGCCCGCCTCTCCTTCTTGTCCGCCCTCGCAGGGAAGTGTGTTCCGAGAGCAAAGTCGCCACCACCAAATACCCGTGTTTGAAGCCCGGCGGGGAACTCAGCACCTGCTTCAGGTGAGTGGCGCCGCGCGCTCGCGCCTTGGCCGCGGGTGGAAGAGCTGTCGGGGTGTGTGTGGCGCGCGCGTGTGGGTGTCAGCTTCTCCTAAGGACCGGAGAGAGGCCGGGTTTGGCGGGGCGGGGGGAGCTCGGAGCCTTCCGTCAACTCGGAAGAGCCGGGCTGACGGTGCCCGCAGACTTCGAAGGGGGATCCCCAACTCGTCGCGCATGGTCGCCCTTAGCACCAAAGAGACCCGTCGAAGCCTTATCAGCCAACAGGTTTATTAGAGGAAGGGGCGTCTCTTCGGCGCTGCTGCTTTGGCTCCAACCCCCACCAGAGATGGGAAGGTGAGCAGAGGCATTAAAAGAGAGAGAGAGAGAGAGAGAAGTAGTAGGTGGATAAGTCCCTTTAGGATAGTAGTCATGGATCACGAATGGATATCTGTGTCCCAGGATAATGTTGCAGGATCCAATCTGTCACCAGAACCAGAGGTTTTTGTCTTCCGAGCTTTCGAACCGGTGCTGAAGCCCATCGTCAGGGAACATCTTATGTTTATGGATCTTTGAGGAATTCTTAAGAGCTCTGTAAGGGGCGTGCATAAGTGCGCAATCATGCCTACAGTCCTTGTCCTATTGTCCCCATTTATTCGTACCCATTTCCTGTATTTTTACTCATCTTTATACTTATACCTATTATCTTGTAAGTGATTGACAAATCAAATAAATAAATAAAATAAATAAAATTCAGAGAAAATTCATGTCTGCTCCCAGCACTCCAGCATGTATTATTGGCCCATTACAGTCCCTTCCAAACCAGTGGTTCTTTTCTTCAATTTAAACCAGTGGGTTCTTCAGTTCTTATGACCTTTCCTTACTTGCCCCTAACTTTGGTGCCAGCTAGGAATCTCGTTTTCTAAGACAGGTTTAAATCCTCCTAAACTATACAGGTGTTTCATTAATATTTATTTTGACCATCTCAAATTACCTACAAGGTGTTTTGTCAAGGTGACTTGGTGGGAGATCAGGTGATTGGCAGATATCAGAAGGAGGCAGGATGGGGGCTGGTGATAGGAACAGCAGTGTTCATGCCATATAGTTTTTGTTGACTCTTGGGTGAGAGAGAAAACTAGCTCAATAGTGAAAAAAGACAGCTGATCTACTATAAGCCACTTATTCTGACTTCAAACAGCTGTGAAGCTGGCCATGAGCAGTTACAAGTAGGCAGGCAGAGGATTAAACTGCAAGAGTCTTGACTTGAGTGCTTGAAGTTTTTTCTCATTTGCCCATTGCATGATTTTGTATACAGATCTCTCGCTAGCACTTATGTAGTGATCACTGCTTCCTTCCAAGTCCCTTCTGCCTTGAAGTTATAAATTGGATCTAACATAAAAGCTGTACTAAGGCATTTCACAGATAAGTTTGTTCATTTTAGCCTGAAATGCATTTACTGCCTTCTCTCTACCCTCACAATAGCTTTACATAAAAGTGCATGTAATATTCCCACACGCAAGAGGAAAAGATTTTTTGGTGTATAAGGAGGCAGGCTGTTCAACCTTTGTATATTTCTGATTACAGCTGATTGTCAGAAGCTTCCATAAGCCTGGCCCCTGATTACTCAGTATAATTAAAACATGAAATCCTAGAAATGCTTTCTGTACTATCATATGAGCCAGGCAAAAGACATGTTTGATCTAAAGAATTACAAATGAGTTGTATGTTCATGCTCCCATGTGTTCTAAACCACTATTTTTGGAAGAGAATATGAAGTCCTGCACACTCCTTATATATATGCTTATATATCCTGCACAGTCCTTATATATATGCTTATATATCGGAGCTACAAATTCTATTTCTTTTTCGTTTGATAATTTAAGGGTTTTTTAAGTAAAAATATCACAGGTAAGGATCGTAAAAATACCTCATTTTTTCCTTTTTAGTTTAACACAGAAAAATCAAGATATATGGGAAAATCCTGAATAAAATTACTTGTATTCAGAACCCTGTAACCTGATCTACCATTGGTTTGTTTGGAATGTGGTTAATTCTGCTATTGATAGTCTTTTTGGTTTTGGTTTGGAAGAGTTTTCCAGTGACTCTGAAAATAGCTAGGAAACAAAAACCAAAACATCTTGAATATTCATTAAGTCCCACTGAAATCTGTTTCTTTAATGAATATGATGATGATCTAATTTAAATTTTAACTGATTTTGTTTCCATGTAGGTTCTGCGCTCCTTAAGCATAGCCAAAACATTTTAATTTGTATATGTAATTCAAATTATGAATCATAGCAATGGATCTGTAAACAGATTCCCACCAACTTACTAACAAACTTTGCTCTTGTATTGCACAATGTGTGCTAATTGTATTCAGAATTACAAAATATTTTAAAGAAGCAATGAAAAGTGAAACATAACAAACTTGTACTTCCAAACAGATTGAAAATCTCTCTCCCTCTCCCTCTCATAGTTCAGATATGAAATTTTTTCATTTGTAAGAACTACTTTCTCTACAATCTTCCCTGCCCAAATATCTTTTTTTAATTGTTTAATATCATACATTTCCTTTCTATGTTGAGCAGTGTGCTCTCTAGGTGTCCAAGGTGTTAACATAAAACATCATTTTCATCATTATGATCATATATATATATAAACAAATATACAATAATATATAAACAAATATATATAAACAAACCAATCATATTATAACATATTTTATCTACTTTAAAACATGTAAAAGAAGATTTGATTAGCCATCTGACAATCATTGTGCTTTTCAAGTGTTATTTTATGTATAGACTATCTTGAAAACTTAATAAATTGAAACCTACTTTCAGGGGAAAAAAGAAAATTACGGAATGTATTAATAGTTAAAGGTTAGTGTTGCTGCTATCCTATTTACAAAATTTACCAATATGTGTAGTGCTGAAAATCTAACTGCTGTAATTTATGTTTGTTTTTTCCTAGTACTGACAGGAACTTTTGGGGGAGAAGGAAGGCAGAGAGTATTTATCACAATTTTGTAATACAAGGGAACCAATATTTCCCTTCAGCTTAGAAGTTGTGTTTTAATTATAGCAATGCCTAAACCAATGGTCAAACCACAGATAGTCCATGAGGATTATTGACATGGGTCTTCAGCCTTCCTGCATTCACCATTGGTCACTTGGTCTCTGCTTGCTTGCCACACCAATATGTTTCACTACCATTCAGCTGTCTTCTTGCCATCTCAATGCCCTGCTTCCTGATGTTCACCACTACTCAGTTCTTTTGATATTGTAGAACTCTTGGTGTTATATGAATTCCATTTCCCTAAAAAGATTGCTCTAAGGAGCTTGTGGATTGGTGGTGATCAAGTGGGCATTTTTTTGGTTCCTCTCTGGAGGCTGTGAGACAACACTGCTTACATGGAAGGATAATAGTGGAATACTAATTGTTTTCTTTATTTTGTGCTAATACCTTAGTACTGAATATAGAATAAAAAAAGCAACAGATACAATAACATGTTGGGGATTTCATGGAAATAAAAAGCCAATGAGATGATGCAAGATGCATCTGTACGATGCTATTCCTTTTGCCTACAGTCTTATTTATACAGTAGTCCTGATTTAAATTCTCTAATTTAGAATTCTCCTGGTTTAGTGACTGCCTCATTTAGCAACTTTTCCAAATTACAACAGTGATGACAAAGTACTGCCATCAACCAGTCCTCAGATTTATGACTTTTGAGGGTCTGTAAAGCAAAGGAAAGCTGAAATAAGATCAATAGGCAGAGTCACAGTTTCACTTATGACTGCTTCACTCAGTGATAGCTATCAGTCCCAATTGTGATTGCTAAATGAGGACTAAATGAGCATTGGTATGAATTTATTTCTCACAACATTATTAATTGTTGTTTTAGATTTGTTTTAATGTTTTTTTTTACATTGTTCAGAGACATGCTTATAAGGAGGGCAGCTAGATAAATTTGCTAAGTAGATAAAAGACAATGTTACAATTGATAATAACATCATAATATAAAATAAGGATGCTCTAAATTAAAAGGTCCAGGACAATATTATAGAATAATATTAAGCTCTATACTTTCAAATGAACAAACATTGATTTTAAATCAATTTTATATTAAATAAAATAAGACAATATTAAATAAGTAATTCATATTAAAATAATATAAAAAATAACTTTTGAGAACTCTAATACAAAGTAACAGTTCATTCTTTGCAATCATTCTTCTGCTCCCAAACTGTCTATCTTGTACTAATCAAGAGCTGTCTGCTGTTTATACATAACATTTTTTTCAGTTTGTTACATTAATGCTGGGCTTGAATTACTAATTTGTGAAAATGTTTCAGTAGCAGAAAAACTCACTGAAACAAACAAGTGAGGTACAACTAATAATTCTAAAATTCAGAGCACAAAACAAGGGCAGTTCCTAACTTGACTATGCTAAGCAGAATTTTGATTTCATGCAAGCACAAATATGACTGTGATTAGCTAATAGATCCTCCCACCTGTTTGTACATTTTATGATATGAAGATTTATTATTTATTTGTGTTTTTTTTAAAGTAATACTCTTTATTCATATTGAAAACATCATTCCTCCGGCACGTAGACTGGTCTTTACCTTTCTGGCCTAAAGACTTGGCTTTGCCATCTTGCCTAAGGATAGTGTTGGTGTGTAGAGTCTGTGAAAGACTACATTGTTGGTAAATTGCATTATTTTCTGGCAGACTACATTTTTAATTGTTTTTACTGCTTTCAATGGGTTGTACTGGTTTTTGTTGTGCGTTATGGTATTTTTTTGTGTTTGCATTTAGTTATTTATTGCATTTTTTGTGTTTGCATTTATTTATTTATTTATTAAATTTTAAGTATTGGCCATTTTGCCATCAAGTGACTGAAGATAAAAACTACAGTGTAAAACATTAACATGATTATATTATATTACGTTATGTTACGTTAATAATAATAATACTTTATTGTCATTGTATGTATATACACAGTATACATATACAACAAA